TTCAGACCAAACAACACAGATGCTCACATACTGTATGTGGATAGCTTTCTGGTTTAGTCTTTATCTCTACTGTAGTTATCATAGTATCATTATTATTATTAATGTATTGTCAGTGGGATGGTATCAGTTTAATATGACAAAATGTTATTATATTCATTTATATGTATCTTACTTGTGATGACTGGGTGTTTACGTTGCATATCTGTACATTTTTTTTAAAAAGCAGTTAACATTTATAGACTCTTCGGACTGATGCCTTCCATACAAACAATAAAAAAATATAAGCATATTACAGGGAAACACAATTACTTTGGGGTTTTTCTCATAAATGAATGCATAACACCACCATCTAGTTTTACACACACACACCAGAATATCATAGATATTGCTCATTATGCTATAGCTGCCTATATGACAAGCCACACATTTCACCCTTCATACATGTGTGTGTCAGCACACAAATTCATGCAAACATACAGGCAAATACAGACATACACAAAAAACAGGGAGCCAAGCATTATTAAGGTTGTGGTGGCAGAATTTATTGAGCCATCTTTCTTTTCCTTTTGATTAAAAATGTTTCATTCTCACTGTGATTTATGAGTGTAAATGGAAAGGGATGGAGGGCAGAGAGAGAGACAGAGAAACAGACAGAAGGAGGGAAGGATGTGAAAGCAAAGAATGACATCATGCTTCCAGCTGGGCTTTTCTGCCAAAGTGTGTGTATGTGAGTACGTATGTGTGCACCCCCCCCACTCCACTAGGTGCGAGTGAATGTAATTGGGCAACTGCACGACTGGGCTGTGTGTGTGTGTGTGTGTGTGTGTGTGTGTGTGCGTGTGCACACGTTTTGCTCGCAGGTGTGAAAGACAATCATAGAGAGCAAAAGAAGACAGTCTGGGTGCATATATTCCCAGATTTAATGGTGGGGTAATGCTGTGTGGCCTGAAAAAAAGATGAGAAGAAGAGAAAGAACACCCATGTGTACAGTATGTGTGTGGTCAGGAGGGGGTGGGACAACCCCCCCCCAAAAAAAAAAAAAACATATGTGAACATGAGCATGAGACAATATGATAGAGGGAGAGAGCTTGACAAAAACAGCAATCGTATCCCCAAAGCAGACAAAGACAGGCAGACACTGGCAGATGGGGAGAGAGCCCCGCTGTTAGTGTATGGGTAAGTGTCTGTGTCTTTGTGTGTGCGAGAGCAGGAGCAAGAGAGAGAGAGAGAGAGAGCTAATCTCCATCAAAGATTAAGCAGACTGCATTGAATGTTATTTAAACAGGGTATGAGAACAGAGACTGTGTATACGTTCAAGTAGAGGAGAAACACTGAGTGCTAACCTAGCGAGTAAGACAAATGAAGACAAGAAGATGCAACAGACTCTTAGAATACAACATGTTTAGAGGAAGAGCTTTAGCACCTTTCCTTTTACTTCCACTCTGAAAATTAGGGTAAAAGGCCAAAAGGAGGAAAACAAAGACATCTGTTTGACATCTGTCTGAGTGCAATTTCAGATGTTTTCTGCCAGCTGAGCTGAAAGACACTCAAATTATGCTACCAGGCACTCAAACCACTATGCAATCAAAAGTAGACAGCTCTGTTGCAACATGAGAAGAATCAAGCCCTCTTCAAGTTGTCTTGAATCACTGACAGTACACTCACTGAATGCCAGAAACTGAGAAAAAGGAAAGGATTGACAGAGAGAAGAAGGTGAAAAATGCTAAAACTGCAAATTACCTAACACACACAGAAAAATCAAGCAAGACTTGACTTTCATAGGATTTTAGCAGTGGCACCTACACTGTGCAACGGCGTGCGTGACATGTCACACTGGCTGAACCTGCTGATATTTTAAAAATAAATTATGACCTTTTTTTCCCACTTGCTCTCAGTTTTGACAATCTGTATTTTTGACTTGATTTGATCTTCCTCATTTCACTAAGTTCGTGTAGACATAATCTAGTTTTGCAGTTTGTTCACACCTGAATACAGCTCATACAGTACCATCTTGTTCAAGGTATACCTGAATGTAACGGGCTCCTGCAGTGAAAAGCTCTCTGGTACTCCAGCTGCATTTTCACTGTCGGAACCTAATGAACAGTAAACCCTGTACTTCCCTTAACCGTCACACAGCATAACCTCGTGGGTTGATGTGGACCATCCCGTTTTGCTTTTCATCTGTATTATTCACTGTGTCTGTCTCCATTTAGAGGAGGGTGGAGCTGAGCAGAGGGAGAGCAGTTGATGTGAAGGACAACTCCATTGTAGGGGTGTGTATCTCTCCCTCTCACATGATTTAATAAGTATCTCGATACATGGCCCACAATTAAAAACAAAAATGATACCGCAAAATTTGTAATGATATGATAGAATGATTTTGATTTGATTGAGCTTATATTCAAATTTAATTTAGCTTTTATTTGAAAGACTACACATACATTAAACTATCTGTTTAAGGTGTAAAATTAAAAAGAGTTAGTGTTTCCTCAAAGCAGTTTTGTATTTCAAGCAATAAAAGCCAAATAGATAAAACATGATGTCTACTCTTTTTTTTTAACAACTGCAAACAAGGGGCACCAGTGAACAGTAAACCTGCAGCTGCTGTTTCACCTTATGTGTGTGTGTGTTTACACACTGTGCTTGTAACGCTAATAGCTGGGGTGTGAACATGTTGACATTTAACCAATCACGGGTCTGTTTGTACACACCCTCTCCTCCCTCGCGTTCCTGGAACTTGATTTTAGAGCTACGTCCTGAGGGGTATCAAAATTTAGCTCCCAGAATGCATCTCCAAAGTGGGTGGAGGGCAGAGGAAGCAAACACAGAACTCGTGGTGAGTGATACTTGGCTCAATATGTTTCAGTAGATTGCTGTGGTGGAAAAACACTATATTGTATGAAGAGACTTGAACTAGAACTAGTTCATTTATTTTCCCTCCAGTTAATCTTTTTTTTTGCCTAAGAAAATACTGCACTCAGAGAGACAGATGGGGAGGAGGGGGCACATAAGATTAGATACAATCTAAAGCCCTACCTGTTCCTAGACAAAACACAGAGGTAAATATGCAAACATACACTATGTTGTACAGGTATGTACAATTACCTAATACTCATGCATGCAAACAAGCACAGACTTGTCACTGCCACCCACCTACACACATTCTCCATGATGTCCCAATGCATACATATTCACCACTTCAGACAGAGCAAAGCTGAGTACACCCCTGTGGACTATCACCAAAATATTAAACGATTCAAAATTGTACCATCTTACAGTCATAGCACTCTTTTTAAGTTGAAGTGTATAGTATTTGATCTTGTGTATAATAAAACAAACAGGTTAGATGACATTGAAAATTAAGGGCCAAGTGTGTCCCCTGACTTAAATTTGCCTTTGAGGCATTTTCACATATGAACTTTAGACAACGTCCACAGAATCAGGTCTAGAGTTAGCCTTTTACAAACATGGCATACAACATGAGATTGTCCATGTCAGGCCTGGCCATGTCAGATGCAGGAGGGCCCTGGGTAGAGCGCATGGACATGATGCGGTCACATAGCCAGTTTGTAATTTCATCATAAACAACTGAGTCTCTTGCTCTTTCATAAATTTCACTGACAATTCTGGCATTTACCAATAACAGTAGAAGTTCTGAAATCTCCTCGTGTCTCCATGTTTCTGGTTTCATGTCAGTCATATGATAGAACGTCATCAACACGCCCACAAGCTATACTATTCACACAGGCTCATTCAGACATTATGGACCTTGTACTATGGAGCTGGCACAGTCTGCTTAATGTCCTGGTAAGCTGACTTGGACATTTTGTGTTCACACATGCAGCTCCTTTGGGTATTGTCTAGGTAATTTCAGATTTGCAGTACAAGTCTGAAAAGGGCTTTGGGCTATTTTAAGGCTGAAGGTACAGTAAAGCAACAAAGAGCAGCTGAAAGTAATAATCTGTGAAGAATGGCAGCTCTTCAAAGATCTCTTTACAGATTTGTACAAGATTGGTATCATCCACACCTACAGTATAAGGATCACCGCTGTCATAAAAAATAAAGGCAGACATACAAAATATTAAACAAATAAAAGAATGGAATCTCACTAATAATGGGTGTACTGACTTTTGCTGTACTTAGTTCTTAAATAGGGACCCTTCATTATAGTTTAATTAGTCAAACAATTGATTTTCAAAATAACATTCTACTTGGGCTTTGACAAAAATAAAATGGATATTTTACATAATTAGTTAACACTTTAATGATACTGACCACTGATCTTCTCAGTTTTGTTGTATAGCCTGTATCATCTCTCTACATTCTCACCAACACACTTGCCCACACACACACTAACATAACGTAATATACATACAGTTCGGGGCTGCCTTCCTACCTCGCCATCACTCAGGTTCTCTTGCTCTGCAGAGTCTACTCTTTGTTTTGGCTCCTTAATTCTGCTCTAAGCCCATCTTAACAGGGAAATGGTGCAGAACAAATCCTAAACAGGAGTTGACAGGGTGGGACAAGAGACTACTTACATGCCACTGTTACTAACATGGGAGGTTATAGAAACCAATTTATATAGACAGACATCTTGTGTAAATGGTAAATATTTGATTCTCTTATGCTTATTGTAAAAGCATTAGCTAAATGCCTAAAAGACAGATACATATGTAACTGTGGCACTTGCTCTTATAGGGCATCTTGAAGCTAGAAAGCCTTTCCAAGATGAGATATCAATAATAGGAGATAGTAATGCATGGCCTTACAAACTCATTATAAGTAAACCTGACAGGACAGTTGAAGTATCTCTCTGAAGGGCTATAGAAAGGGCACGCTCACGAAAGCTTCTTAACTTCCTGTCCTCCACATCTCTGCAAAATTCCCTGTTTCTAACCAGTAGATGTGGATAATGACCCTTCAGTGGGCACTACATAGGAAAGCTGCGAAGTTATGAGTAGTAGCAGATCTAGTCAGTAGCTTTATACTGAACTTACATAAGGCGTGGGATCCAGCGAGCAGCAGTGATAGCAGCAGAGTGGTGACAGGCAGTAGCAGTGGCAAAGAGAAGCGAGGGGCACCACTGGTGGCCATCTTGGCTCCAGTAGGGAAGGGGGCAGGGAGGGGTGGGGTGAGGCTGATCCTTGACCTGGCCGGAACGCCGAGGCCCAATTGCGCAGGGAAGGTTGGGGTCTTCACGCAGGATAGCTTGGCACTCTGCAAAAAGACAAAAGATGCACTTTGTTATAAACTTTATTTCTGAAAGGGCGAGTGTTTTAACAACACCCAGATTCAGTTTAATAGTTACATTCATTCATACTTGGGCTCAGATCTCCTGTCGCAATACATTTTCTATGGTTGACAGAACATCAAAACAGCCCAACCCAGGAAAGAAAAATGACTACTTTCATTACTACCACTGGCATTTACATACTATGAAAAGGATGTGCCAGTCTTGCAGTGGCTCTAGATGGGATAAAATGTCCAAATAACATGGCACCATATTATATGTGTTACTTTTGAGTAGTTGACAGGGTGCTCTCCACCAGATCCACTTGCAGTGAAAAGGTAGTGGTTCTGCCCACAGTGGCAGGACATGTGACATTTTGATAAATACACAGACCAGGCCACTCTGCTGCACCTTTCACAATCCTTCATTGCTGCTTATACACAAATGAGAGGAAGGTAAAACTGTGTCGGTGATGCTACTGAAAGCAAAGTCTCTCATAGCCCAAACACTGTAACCTCCCTATCTTGCAACCAGCGTCTTCTCACATTCGTTAATTAGCAGGAGAGTCACTGTCTTCGTTCTTTTTTCTTTCCTAATCGGCTGATCTTGTCATTATTTGCTTATCTCATTGCCTTGTAATTACACAGGCACCGAATGATATTCTAGCCACTGTCTCTTTGTTTAAATCAAATTGCCATTAATCCCACAAGTTACACAGAGGGACCAGGGACACACACACTATTTTTCCCACTGATATGTCTGGTGTAGCCTACAGCCACCACAGGGTAGTTATTCATACTCTGTCATTAAAAAGACATGAATTAAGTGACAAAGGATCATCAGAAAGAACGGTTTTATGAGATTACCTAGGCCATGAAAGCTGCTAAACTGTCGGAAGAGTTGAAAGGTTAAAATATGTAGCTGTTACAAGACTACGTTTGTGACAGTGAGAGGCAGGAACGCCTCAGTTAATTGCAGTGTTGCAGTGTAACCATGCATCTCAGACAGTAGGCATATAAAAGTGCCCCACCCTTTACAACTACATGGCACTTTTACAGCAGGCACATTTAAAATAAAACCACAGACGCATGCAGCAAATATGGCAGAAGCAAGCAAATGCTGTGTAAAGCAACTGGCCTCTAAACACACCGTTTTTTTTCTCTATACATCATTTAGACAGAAATTCAAAGGGAGAGATCAACAATAGGTTTCTGTCAGAGGCTCAGCTCATCATTCAGCATAATACTATACACACACGACCAACGTGTGCCCTTGTGTTCATCTTTTCTTGGCCTAGAGGGCAGATGATGTCACTGGTGAGAACTGAGGGAAACATGAATAGAGAGAACAGGGAGAATCAAATTGTCTCTGAAACCTCTGAATGATGTTCCTATTGTTCTGTCTGTAAACACTGGTGTAGGTAGAGGGAATCTCACCTTGCCTACAGGGAATTGCTCTATCTATGCTCACAGGTTTCCTAAGTTTTGATTTATTGCCCTCCCCCTTAGGGCATGGCTTCTATCTCCACCTCTGGTTGCTATACAAACTTCACAACACTATTACAACATCTATTGTTGTTAAATGACCTTGTCAAACATAACCTAGGGCCGTGTGTGGGCTCCAACTATACCACAAAAATAAAAAAAAAAAAAAAAAAAAAAAAAAAAAATGCACCATAATGCACTCATCTATTCTGAAATGTAAATAGAAAGTAGAGAAAAAATAGACCGAAGCTTAGATAGAAAGACACATAGCTGGTGTCCTTAAAAACTGATATACTACTCTTGTGATACCCAGAACCATTTTTAACACATCACAACTTAAACACCTGGGACCAAGGCACACACATTTTCACAAACTCCAAGAAGCACAACAAGCGTCTTTTATTATTATTGCTGCTGTTGTTACTGTTATTATTATTCTTCACACTATTATAGTACTTAAAGAACTTTTTATTAATATTACCATTATATTGTTTCTTTCTTTTTTAACATTGACAGAGTGGCTATTATTATTATTATTGTTATTGTTATTGTTATTATTAATATTTTTGCTGTTGACAGTGTTAACATGATACACATTCCTGTTTTTCACTGTTCCTGTTGTTTTGTATGTCACACATCAACCAAACCAGAATAATTGTATTTATTTGCCTATTTTTATTTCACATAATTATATCATCCATTATCAACTGCCATTATATTCTTACAACCCAATATTATTACTCTATTATGTCATTACTATGGAATATGGATATTTCTATAACTGCTTCCATCAACATAATAATCAGTATTATTATAATTTGAATATAATCCAACAAAACAGAGGAAGGGTTTTATGCTATCATAAAACAAAAGACGCTGCCGTCCTGGCCGACCTCACCCTGCTGAGCAGCTCTGGAGCTCCCCAGTGATGACCTCAGCTTGTTGCATTGCTTGTGATTTGGGGCGGAAAAATCACCTGCACACTCTCTTGTCTTTATTACTTATTTGTTGGTTTAAACCCCCTCACACCCTATTTTACATGAATCATTTATTACTCGCTCCCATCTCCTTTTTAATTTAATTTAATTTTTTGTTTGTTTTGTTATGTTGAAGTTAAATACAGCCACCCTCCGCACCCTCACACACAAACCAAATATAAAGCCTTTTATGCCTCGTGCCCAGCCCTGATTATATTGTATTGTCTTCAATGTTCTGTCCTGTTTTGTTAACGTGTTATTTTGTGTTGAAATAAAAAAAAAAAAAGATGTATGCCTGTGTACACATATTCTTTATTAATCCCTGTGGGCTTGGAGATGACAACATGTCACAAAAGTAGTAATTAGCTCATGGTATAGCAAGCATAGCGTGTTTCGTATCACCATGGGAAAACCTGTCACCTTCCTGTATTTAGCATTCCGGCGATGCTGGCAAAGAGGCCGATCAGCTGACAAACCCTCGCCATTACCTCAGCTGTTTCCACATTTTAGGCTGTGATCAACAGGAAACCTCTAATGATAATGTTTTCCACATTGGCACCATGTTACATGACTACTTTCATTTCAGAGAGAAATCAAGCTAATTAGCAATCATTAAGCTTGTGCAAGATGAGGAATAAAAAAGTAAAAGCATCACCTAGTCCCATGCCATGGCTAGCAGCATTAATAAATAATGTTAACCCACAAAAACATATTTTGGTGACTCATATGTAAGGAAGGGAAAAAAGTGTATCAGCTGCTATCTTGTGACACAGACCCTGGCCAAAGTTGTGTACTTTTCTAACTATTACCAAGTAGTAAACTCCCAACTTGTTCTGCTGCACAAAGGTTAATGTTAGCATTTCTATTTCTGTGTATGACAACAAATGAAGCACATTCGTGTGTAACTGCAGAGGGATGTGTAGAATCTGCTGATATGTAATTCATAAACACTAGTAAAATTACAAGGCCTTATTTGATGTAGTATAATATACCTTTAACATTTAAAACAGCTTTAAGCAATAATGTGCTAAAGTGTTGCTCATTTGTTTGATTCAAACTGAAAACAGTCCCAAAGTCTATTCACTGAA